TATTACCAAATGGAACGATGTCTTCCTTGATAATTCAAAAAAGCATTGATTTTTCTAAGGACGTATTGATTCAATTGGTAGGCAACATCCAATTATTATGTAACCACGTTAATTACATATAAAATATTTGTGTCTCCTTTACAACTTAGAAGCAATTGTCTATATTGTTCAATATTAGTACACGTATGATCCAATCATCTTTAGTTCTTTTATAAAAAAGATTGACGAGAAGGCACGAGCTTTACCGATTTCATTGATTGGAATAGAAAAAAAAATTGAGCCGACTTATATGGAATACCAGGCTTAAAATCACACAACAACATGATTGATACGTCATGCAAAAAACCCAACTAGAAACAAGGGCAAACTCTAGCCAAACAAAGCACCACCATCAAACCCAAACTAAAGCTCGAGAGTCCGAGAGACTCAGGGCGGTGAGGAGAGGCTCTTCAACATCTCCAAGGAAAAAATGGCCCCTGAGGTCAATCGTCACTGGCCTCATCGGACAAAGCTTTCACCCTGAGCACCTAACACCACCTCCCCACCGAACCCCATGGGAGGGGATCCGACATGACAAATTAGTCTCTTGAGATTCTTTATGGGGAGCCTCAATTTGTCAGGCACCTGCAGAAAACCGATTGCATTAGTTACTTTTGACATAGACCGTCAGATCTTCATCCAACCGCCCAAAACAGATCGCGCACTGTTCATCTTCTCCCACCCCCTTCCTTCTTCCTCGTCAAGACGCCCCCAACCTACCCCACCCTAACTGTCGGCCTCCACCATCCGCGGCCGATGGGCGCTACCGCGCACCACCTTGTCCCCCTTCCCTCCCCTCAACCTCCTCCCACCCTTGTTGCTGGTCGTCGCCTCGGCCATCCCTCTAAGCCCCGCCATACCATTGAAGAACTTCGGTGATCCCATGCACCCCACCCCTAAGGATAGATAATGAAGCAATGGCTTCCCCGTAAGATAGATACTGATGCAATGGCTTCTTCTAAGATAGATGGTGGGTCCGCCTCTTCAGATGAACTAGAAAAAGTGGCTGATGCGAAGACAATTTCCAGGCACCTGAGATATAGCATAACCGTTCTTTATGAAATATGTTTTCATACTACGTGTATTTGATGTTGTAGATCTTCGCAAATTTATATGTTGAGTCAATAGTTAAACCTAGAACTTGAATTATATTGGAACCGAGAGAGTAACTAATGCAGCCTTGCGAACCAACTTGTGGTTGAATGGTTAGAGGGACTATGGTATCCCAACCCACCAGGGTTCAAATTCTGGTGCTCGTATTTATTCCTGAATTTATTTCAGGATTTCTGTTGATGTGCATTTAGTGGGAGGAGACGTTATCGTCAACGATGAGGTGTCTAAAGTGACTTTGTAAATTTTAAGATGATATGCCGGCTCAGGCTTTCGGAGGTGCTCACAGGGGTAGGGTGTGCGTGTGTATTCATAGGAATGAGTGTATGCGCGCGTATATGAGTGCTTGCGTTTGTACCGTGTTAAAAAGAACTAATGCAGCCTTGGTTCTTTTCTAAGGGGGTGTTTGGTTTCAGGGACTTTTTAGTTTCAGAGACTAGAAAAAGTCTCTAAAAAGTCCCTGGGAATCAAATGGGAGGGACTTTTTCTACCGGGACTAGAAAAAGACTCTACTGAAGAGTTTTTTTTTATTAGTCCCTGGGAGTAAAAAAAGTCCTAAGACTTTTGAACCAAACACCCCTAAGTCCCACGCGAGAGAAAAACGCCGGCCAAGGTTGGCAACAAAGCCGAACAAACGCAGTTCGCCCGGCAAACACAATTGTATTTCTCCGAACAAAAGATGGCAGCAGCCGACGACTACGACGCCGCGGTCGCGCTGGCCGTGTTTCATGCGGCCCGCGCCGGCGTCCGCGGCCTCGTCGAGTGCGGCATCACCTCCGTGCCGCCGCTCTTCCTCGCACCCGAGCCCAGAACCAGCAGCCCCTCCCCACCGCCAGTCGAGAACGAGATCCTCTTCACCATCCCAAGCGTTGACCTCGCACTCCCGCCCTCGTCCAGCCTGCCGCTCATCCGCGCCGCCGCGCGCTCGTGCGGCTTCTTCCATGTCACCAACCACAGCGTCGACGCCGCCACCGTCGACTCGGCGGTGTCCGCCGTCCGGGCCTTCCACGAGCTGCCCCTCACCGTCCGTTCAGCGTTCTACACGCCCGCGTCCGTCGGGAGCGTCACCTACTCCACCATCCCCATCCAGCCTGGTAAAACCTCTGCCGGCCGTTTCCTTCCCTGGCGCGACACGCTCCAGGTCCGCTTCGGCCCTCCTCCAGCGCCTGACCTCGTCCATCTGCCGCCGGCTTGCCGAGACGCGCTGCTCAAGTACCAGCTGCTCACGACGGAGCTCGGGAAGAAGATGGCCGGGCTGCTGTCGGAGGCGCTCGGCGTCGGCGCGGAGCGGCTGGAGAGGGCGATGCAGGTGGAAGGCTTGCTGATGGCGTGCCACTACTACCCGCCGTGCCCGGAGCCGGCGCGGGTGGTGGGCAGTCTGGAGCACACGGACCCCAGCCTTTTCACCGTCCTGGCACAGGACGGGGTCGGAGGGCTTCAGGTGCGCCTCCACGACGGACGGTGAGCCGACGTGCCGCCGGTGCCCGGCGCGCTTCTGGTCAACATCGGGGACGTGCTCAAGGTGCGTTGTGCCTCCAGCTCTGTGGATGTGAACTGCTACCAATCTACCACCATGATGATTTACTTGCGGATGGAAAAAAGATCAGGTGGTTTCAAATGATGAGTACGAGAGCGTGGAGCACAGGGTGGTGATCAAGTCTCGTCAAGATGCCAGGGTGTCCATTGCACTCTTCTTTAATCCTGCCAAGCGCCAGGAATCCGACTTGTTCGGGCCCCTCCCGGAGCTCTTGACGGCGGGAAAGCAGCAGCGTTACCGGGCTTTCACCGTCACAGAGTTCATGCACTCCCGAAGAGAGCATGGCCATGGCACCAAGTCCATCGACCGGTTCAGGATTGCACATGAATAATCAGATTGAAATGATTTGTGCGGACTATCGCCATTGATGATGTAGATGCAAGCATGCATGTTTCTCCGGGACGAACTTGGCCATGTCTTGGCAGAAATGGAAATTTAACGCTGTAAAGAGAAAACAATATTTGGATATCCACTCCTCACATCACATAATATAGTATGTTGTTTATGATATTTGAGCTCGGGACTAGAGTGACACTTTCGGTATGTATAGAGCAAACTTGACATCTACATGTAAACGATACATCTCTCTTGTGCTATAAATAAAGCAAACCCTTCTGTCTGCAAAACCAAGGTGGGAGCAGAGAGAGTTTGCACGCCTGCCATCCTTGAAAACTGACAGAGCATCTAGCGTCGCGCTCATTTTTTGATGTACTCGATCGTGCAGTTCTCCTTGAGCCACTCGAGCACCTTGGCAGCCTCGAGAACATCCTGAACCTGCATCGTTTTCAATCCCACAGCAGACAAAGAATGAGATTTTCCAGCCATGGGAACAAGCATAGGTAGGGAGACAATTTCCTTGACATTGCCTTGGTTCACTTAATACTACTAGGCATGACTGTTTAACCGTCATCTTTTTTTTCTGGGGATTTAACTATCATCTAGCACGTATATATTCTAGTAGAGAAAAATTGTCGCAGTAAGATCGAAATGGTGTTGCCAGACCACAGCAAACTGAAGGAATTCAGCACTGAAAATATCAGAAGAAGAAAAAGAACAGTTAAGAACCTGCTGCTTGATGTTCCCCTCGTCGTAGTCTTGATTATAGCGTTTGAACTCTTCTATAGAGTTCTCAACTTCCTTGACGAGTTGGTCTGTCGAGTACTGCATGATGATATGTTGTTAATGCAGGATAAAAAGTGTGTGGCTATAGAAATGTCAAAAGTAGGGGTTCTATCACTCGAATCACAAATGAACAACAATCATGTTATTTACCTGCAAATTTTCAGCCTTGAATATTTCACCAACAACCAACATTTGCTTAATGATCCTAGCAATGTTCTCCCTCTCACTTTTCAGGTACTCCTGGACAGACTTTTCGCTTGAAAGGGATGCTAGCTGGTCTTTGTCTAGCTTCCTTTCTGCCTGAAGGAACCAATAAATACATTAGAAAGCAATATATAAAAGCTAACCTAGTGTTAGACTGCTTGTTCAGTACCTGAAGTTGGAGAAGTTTCGCTCCATACAACTGTTGACCTTGTTCTTGAAACAAGGAACGTGGAACATCAACGTCTACCAACTACACAAACCAATGGAAACATTAGTGCAAGCTTATGCAATCTAGGAGAGAGTGTGAAAAGGAATTTGATAATGGAACCAAAGGTAACATATGGGCGATCTCCCTGCAAAAATAATAATTCAGAATTGAAAAGCTATTTCAGAAGCAAGCCCACAACCTTTCCCAGTTGGTCGAGGATTGCATTATCTGTTGCTTGTTCTATAGCCGTCTTCTCCACTTCTTTGCATCTTTCCAAAATTCGTTCCTTAACCTGTTTCAATCAGAAGGGATGGTTTCAAAACAGTGGGAAAAAATATTCATCAACCATCGTATCGTGTGATGAGCACAGTTTACAGCTAATATTTCGCAGGGTGAACTGCGAACTATGATCAATCGGGAGTAATTTTCCAAAAAGAAAACAGGTTCAACAGGGACATATCCAGTGATGTTGATTTCAATGCCTATTATTAACTAGCAAGTGAAACAAATACTATAGCGGTGGAATAGAAACCTCATCGATGGTATTGCATCCTGGAAGGAGCTTTGCGGCAAGCGAATCATCCAATTCTGGCAGCTCTCTGAAGAAAAGTTCTTTACAGACAACCTACATAATACAGTCAAAACGGGAATGAAAACTCCAGCACTAGCTATAGACTAGAATAAAAAACTGTGTCACCATAGTTTGTGTGCAGTCAAACAGGACTAACATACACGTGCAATTATATTTCTCACATGAAAATCATACTAACAGATGTGACAGTAAAAGTAATTCCAAAGTTTAATGACTTCCGCGTGATATAGGCACAATATAACGTGATTACTAAATGGTAGTAAGAGTGCAATACACATGTAAATACATTTCGGTTTTTAGGAAGTGATACTCACAGTAAACTGGGCACGGACACCTTGTAGAGTTTCCTGCTCAAATGACTCAGGGAACTGAATAGGAAAAGTTCTAGTCTCACCAGGACGAATCCCAATTAGCGAACCCAGAAATCCAGGAACAAGATTATTATTTTCCTCAGTGTCCAAGTGGAACCCTGTAATCATAGCAGATGTGCATCACAAGATAGAATGAAAGCAATAGTGTGCATTCTATCTTATCTGGTATTCTGGTATACAAAAGAGAATTCTGAGGATATGTAGACTTGAAAGTCACATCACTACATTAGTCAGTTGCAATCAAAGTGGTGTACAAAGCCAGAAACAATTGGGAAAATATTTTAAATATATAACAGCATATTATCATAATAGGCAAACAATTAAGTTGTGAAAATAAAATAGAATGGAGTTGTGCAAAAACAAACAAACCTGTACTCTCAGCTGATGGAATTTTTTCACCTTTAGAGCCGTCGGTTGTGATAGTTTCAGCCAATATATCCAGTACCACTAGATCGCCTACCTACATGGTCCAAAAGAGGGTGCTATTACCACATAACAGCATTACTGATACTTACCATGAAATAAGTTTAATCTAACATGCCAATCCAAACAAGCAAGCCACGTAGTTCATACATCCTTCATTTATTATGAAAATCACAATGCTGTTTTTTTTTCAAAGAAGTCATAATGCTGTTTGACACTGACAAGGAAACGTTAAGGGTATATATGTACATGATGACTTCGCTGTGGTCAATAGTTCTGCTAGGCCCATAACTATCTTTTTTTTTATAGTAACTTTTTCAACTAGAATAAGATGCATATTTGTGAATAATTTTTTTTTCCTAAGTTGACGTGCTAGTAGGGAAATCTCTAGCCGTAGTCATCCAAGCCTCGCCACCTTCTTTGCCAGATGGCAAATGCAGAACAATGTGATCTGCTTCGAAATGACCAGATTACCCGCTGTTTAAAATATGTGTAGATATAGGCCGTATTGACTCCCACCCTCATGGTCTTATCTCATCTTCATGAGATTCAGTGAGCATCCATTGCCACAGACTCTGATCTGGGCGGATCTTAGCAAGATTAATGTTCATCATCGACTAGTAATTGTGTTCACTGGACTGAACTATCGCTGTTGGCACATTTGCTATTGCCCCATTATCATTGTTAGTTTTGAATTTCGGTAGATGCCATATGACATTGCTGACTTATTCAACTATCAGACCATCAGTACAAGTTGCTGAGCTACCATAATGCTTAACCTAGTGGAAACATCTATAGATATAAAAGGTACACGGTGTAACATCAAGAAGCTCCTGGAACTGTTTCGCTCAGGTAGTACAACCAGGGCCCAATTTTCCTTTTAGAAACAGACAATAACACTTTATCAGCCATAATAGCCCTGAGCTATAGCGCAGGCACTAGCAAATACAGGGGTATTATTAATAGTATAAGTTAGAGTGTGGGCATCGTAAGACTGCAGACCATAAAATCAGGAAGACACAAATATATGGAATAAGAAGAACAGTTCGTCACTTTGTCAGATACTACTAGAAATTTGGCCGATTTCTGCAAAACTTTGCCGGTTACTTGAAAGGGGAAATGAGAGTCCTGAATAAACTAAAGCTAACACACGGTACAGGTTTCATGGTATATTAATATTGCATTTACATACTAGAGCAACTGTAAGAAATCACCTGTAGGCCTCTGTCAGGTACTATTCGAAGCAGCCCTAGAGATTTACGACGACGCTTAAGCTCCAACTCGGCTGCCTTTTCTGCATCAACAATTTCATCTATTTCAATAACCACTTTGAGGTTCTTATATTTGTCTTCAGATAACCAACGGACTTCAGGAATAACATCCACAGCAACATCATATCTGAGAAAAAAAATGGTATAAAGAAAAATATATGATCAAAACAACAATTTTAAATAAGTTCAGATAATGAAATAAGCAGGAGACCAAGATGGTAGTAACTCTCTACCTAAAGACATGGTCAAGGGAGAAAGCCTCGTTCATATCATCAAACTTAGTGAGAATGCGCACAGAATCTTCTAATGCCCTCTCTTCTACCTATAAAAAAAGATGACAATATCAGCTGATCAGATGTAATGTAAAGTATAACATAGTACATAGTATATTTTTAGAGGGAGAAAGACAAGTCATGGTTCAGCAAGAGATTGGATCATCAGAGAAGGGATCTGCAGTGAGAAATGTTCTCAGCAAAATATCTGCTGAAAATGTTAAACAGTGCTTCATCTCTGATGATCTGCCAATTCAGTTCATATGTAATGGTAATGTCTACTTCAAAAATTTCAACTATGTCGTCACTCTGATAATAGTAATGCAAGACAAATACAGGTTACCAGAACTAATTTTGCTTGTCATGAATGGTTGGAAACAAAGAATCCATTGTGTTAAATATCAGGGTATTGCTTTGTAAAATAGGACTGGGGAGAAGTTCATACCGAGGACAGTGCTTGAGGAAGTGTATGTCTTAAGATAGCTTCAACTGTAGCAGCCCGTACATGTTGTGGTCCAACGTAATTTAAAAGTACATTTTCTGGAACTATCTTTCCAGGCCGAAATCCAGGAACCTGATAAGAAGGAATAGCAGGGGTGTACAATAAAAAACTGCAGAATATAGAGCAGCATCACAGGCACCATGTAGAATTAGCTCTTTTCCCACTTCCGAACCGTCTGGTCTTAGTGATTTAGCTATGATCAATAAAATTTGATACAAGCTGAAAATACTAGATTACATGAGTATTTCCATTTTGTGAATGCATCACATCTCATTTATATACAAAATTATCAGGGCTCGTTTTTTATGAGAATATCAAACACTTGGCGAAACCCCAAAAGAACACCTGTGACTAAACCACAGACAAAGAAGGCTCTCGGTGCTAAGCAGTGCAGCAAAGAAGTAGCACACACTGACACACATATTGCAATCTTATTCATGATTACTGAACATGTAGCCCTTAAACTTCGGTATAAGCCCACATTCCTGGCTGTGCTTTGCAACTCTTTGCATAATGTTTGTCCTCACGAATTCCAATGTTCTTCATTTGATACAGGTTTTAGTACAGAAATGGTACCTTGAAACGCTTTGAGTACTCGAGAAGAGTTGTTTGGTAGCACTCCTGGCATATCGAGGGAGGCACCTCCACGCTGAACTTAACCTGCAAAGCAGCACACCATGACCATTAGAATCAAGCATCAGTTCATCAGTTTATCCCCTAATGCAGTCCACTCATCCCACAGAAAATGAGACAACATCCCACATTACAGAATTACGCGGCTCTCCAACTCATATACTCCACTAGAGAGGCAGTTAATTGAGCAGAGTCGGGGCTAACACTGGAGTTGGGCTGCGGCGTCTCGATGACGCGGACGGAGTCTCCACCACCTGCGGCGGCCTCGCGGAGCTCTACGGCGGCCGAGGCGACGGGGAGTCGACGCCTCTGGGACCGCGAGGTGGAGGCGGAGGTGGACAGGGACCGAGAGGAGGACGGCGACGAGGAACTAGACCAGGAGGCTACGCGTGCGGTTGAGAAATGGCTGCGGCCGGGGTGGATGGAGGCTGTGGAGACGACGGCCGCGGTGGCGAGCTCCATGGCCGCGGCTCGGAGTGGAGCAGCGCGTTTGCTTTTGTGGGGGAGAAGACGAGGGGAGGGGATTAGGATTTAGTAAGCAGATAAGCGAATAAAAGTAGTCAGTCAGATATTTTTTGTGAGCTTTATGGTTTTCCTAAAGAATTTTATTTTGTTGCAAAGGTCTACAGTTTTTTTTGGCTCTATGTGGTGTTGTCAATGTTGGTATATTTTTCTGTAGATTTGGTAAAACTTAACAAAGTTTGACTTAATAAAATTAGAACTTTAAATATTTTGAAATTGAGGGAGTAGAAATGTTAAACGTAGCATGGTGCATATGAAGCCACTTGTAAAGCTTAGTTAAGCTTCTATTTTCAAGGGTAAAGAAATGGCAATAACGCGTTGACGTTCTCTTGGGAAGATCATTCGAGCTAACGAGCTAACGAACGTTCTCTGTAAGAGGCTTGTTTGAGCGTACGACGCTACTAGGGAGTGTTTCGTCAAAAAATCACTTGCATAGAACGTTAAAAAAATCATGCTATAACAGATACATTTATCATGCTAGTACAGAAAGGTTTTTAATGTTGAAAAAAAATCATGCTAGCAGAAAGAATTGTCAGGAATTTGACATGCTCCAGCAAAGTAAATTGTCATGCGTATCAAAGATCTGCACATGGAAAAAAAATGTCATCTACAATAGGAGAAAGTTACCACAAATGTCCATGATTTGTAATGCTGCAAAGAGGAGAATTGTTATGCTATAGCATGGAGAATTTCCATGCTGTAGAAGAGAGATTGACACTCATGCCTTTAGAAATTTGCCATTGTTGCATCATAAGAACTGTCATGTCTCACATAGAACTTGCCATGACACTGGTATAGGGAAAAGGTTCCCCGACGAAGGTCGTTCCCTCAGGTAGCATCAAACGAGTGAATGATTGTGTTCTGCTCAAACGTTTCCTTCCGATGGTCTTTCAATGAATGCACTGGGATTTGTGGGAGGACTATCGGACACGCCATAGGGTGTTCCTTGAGAAAAGTCCTTCCCACAGAATGTTGGATCAATACCATTTCTGTAAAAATATTACAAAAACTCCCACACATACTCCATTTGACATGCTTTCTCAAATACCCTCAAAAACATTGAAAATATAAGTATAAATTAATATTAATCCGGAAACAGTGCTAAAACATCTACAATTGAAATTTTCTTTAAAGACTATATGATGTGAACTCTAAGCTAACAATGCTTGCTGAGTTTTTCTGTTGTGAATATCTAACACTACACATTTGGAATGTTCTTTTGAATACCCTCCAAACCTTGGGTCTGCCACTATCCTTATGTCAGCATCTCGACAATCATGATGTTCATCCTACCACAACTGATGTGGGAATAACAATGACCAGCAAACGTGAATCCATCGACATAGGTAGCTAGTATTTGATACCACATTTTACGCTATCATGGTCCACTAAACCAGCGTTCCGAACCCCCATTGTGTCACATGTGTACTCCAGCGCTATCACATAGCAACAGAAAAAATAGGAGGTTTGTCCCTCTCATCTAAAAGATTAGTGATATGAGACATATGGCTCGTGGGAGAGACCACCCACACATTTAGATAAGCCATGCTCTGTCGACTCAATTCACTTGGTTGGGGAAGTGGATTTACCCACCACTTGGATTGAAGTTCTCGTGGACACATATAATTTTTTGTTTATGTTGTAGGGTCTTTTTTGTAGTATTTGATAGAAACAATAATTATCAAAATGGGACTTAATCATGTCCACCATTTATTGCATAGTTTGAGAATTGTCATAGAATTGAAAATGATGTGGAGTGAGAGTGAATGTTTTTTGAAAAGAGGGTGTACCCCGACCTCTGCATCAACGGATGCACACAATCAATTTATTAAAAATAATATAAGTAATTCACCAACATCAACTAAATGGAAAAGTAAACAAACCACAACCGATCAATAAAAATGATTACATGACTCATTAACCACATAATCTATTAGTGAGATGCCAGCCAAATCAGCTGAATAATGCATGTGCAACCATCTCCAGACGGTTGCACTCAAAGGCCATGAGCTCCGCAGCTTCCCCACGCTGAAGTAACGCCATGTCCAAATTGAAGAAGTGGCCAGGAAGATAACCTATAGGAGATTATGATTTGTTAAAACTACAGTCATTCCGACAATTCCAAATTGCCCAAAGTAAGGCATAAGACCCTACACAGATATGACCCTTAAGTTTTTTATTACTGCCAACCAACCAGTTCCCAAACAAATTAGTGATACTAGTTGGAGGTGACAGTTAGAAGCCACGTGAATAGTGCGCCAAATCAAAGCAGTAAAAAAGTGGGAGATAAAAGATGCCGAATTGCTTCCTCTTCATCACGAAAACAACATATTTACATCCATTCCAGTTTCTTTTAGCCGGGTTATCCTTAATTGGAATCACCTGTCGTTGAACAAACCACATGAATTCTTTTATCTTTAATGGAACTTTGATTTTTCAAATGTGCTTTCTATGGAACACCGGCCCCGTATTAATAAGACATGCATACATAAACTTGGCATTAAACACCCCATTGGTATTTAGTCTCCGTCTAAAAACATCTGTCGAATGAGAAAGATTGGTCATGAACCTACGAAGCAAATATATCTAGGACATCCATTATCTCCAATCAAGGCCCTCCTAAATTGGATGTTCAAGGGAGATGATCCAAGAATATACTGAATCGTAGCATCTTTTCTATGCGCCACATTATAAAGCGTGGGATATTGTAATGCAAGAGGACCGTCTCCAAGCCATGTGTGTTTCCAGAAACTCGTAGATTGGCCATCAACAATCACAAATGAGCCTCTCAGGAAGAAAGAAGTCTTGACCTTCGTCAAGCCTTTACAAAATGGAAAATTCAAAGGTCATACCTCCACTTGAGACAAGGTCTTGCAATATAAAATTTTACTGCAAAGAATTTTTTGTCAAACACACTCATCATTTTGCAACTTGAAAGAAAGAGTATGTGAGTGAAGAATTCTAAACAGTTTAATTATGGCAACTCAGAAGTAACATAAGATTATGTGGCACCCCGGCTCAGAGCGACCGGTTTACCATGCATTGCCAGCCCAGAGACCTTGTCTTCTGGCAACACACAACAACTTGGTACATAAATACAACCGCTTTATTGATGCTAGCGGATCAGAGTTTATATTACAACAGTTAGCGAGGCCAAGCGGCACACACGGTGCAGCTGAACAATATGTATATTATTTAGTGAACATAAAGGGGGCTCGATCATGATAACTACGCGGCAACGGAACAACGTCGTAGCGGAATTCCATAGCACAGGGACACCGATGTGGACACGATCTAGACTCGGACAGCTCTCCTTTCCAACGAGACTTTCTTGAAATCTGGTATGACACGCCAGGTCAGTACATTGAATGTACTTGCAAGCTCACAAGTCACAACAAGCATAAACATAATGACAAACAATATCATGATATTTAACCAATTAATAACAATGCAACAAAATATCCAACATGCTGTGACTATGCTCAAGTGGTACTCGTCCCTTGGACTGGCTCACCGAATGTGATCGTTTCCAGATCACAAACGCGTTGAACACAGAGACAAACCCGTGATCCTTACGGCGATCACAACCACGACCAATGAATGGCCCGTGATCCTTACGTCGATCACAACCACGACCAACAAATGGCCCATGATCCTTACGACGATCACAACCCGACCAATAAATGGCCCGTGATCCTTACGGCGATCACAACCACGACCATGTCTGGTCCAACTCAACACGATGGCCTTTCCGCCACCACCATGGTGCAAACGTCATACTTAGTGTGCAAATTCATTAAGTGTTGACCCATGGTGTACCCTACATTCGAGCGTGTCCGTAACCGTGGACTCGGCTATCGATAGATTAATACACTCTGCAGAGGTAGCGCACTGGACCCACACTAAGGAACCCATGGCCTCGCGCTCCCATTCGGCTGGACCAACGGCATTCCGACGAAACCACTTCATTTCCATGGCACTCTCCCGGCCACTCCGACTCAATCCCCATCGGGCTAGTCCTGGGTGGTCCCGTGTCTACCTCAAGACACATCAACCACCGTCGTGGCCACGATCCACTCTGGGACCCGGTACCAAAAACTTAACAACGGGCTCACAAGGTTATGCCTACTTACCGGGCTAGGGTAGAGCACGCCCATAACCTTCCCTAGATGGAGGCACCGACCAGAGGCACGACAATGAAATGAATTAATGTCGTCCCATACCGGCCAATGTGGTTGTACTGGGAAGACTCGTTTCAGCGACACCATGACCCGGTCAACAACATATTCAAGTTGAGTTATTACCAGGTTCAACTTAAAGTGAAAGTAACTGGCGTCATAATGCCATGACATGCATCACTAACATATGCATCACATATCAACGAAAATAACTGTATCAACTACGCTCTCACGGAGCAATCAACAACTCATGATACTCCTCTTGTTAAGATCAAACCTTACTTTAACCAGAATAGTTTCTAGCAAATTTATCATTTTTCATCATGCAAAAATAATCTCACTAATTATTTATCTCCATAACCATATTATCTTCTTATTACTCATAACTATATCCTTGTTAGCTTACTAATTAGGTTCACTACAAACTTTCTGTAAATCAAGCATATTTACTATAACAAGCATATAACATAATATAATTAACACATTAATATTTTAAATGCATGAATAACCATTAGGTCAAGTAGGAAAATCACAAATTTGAAGTGACACTATGAAAATGTTGTTGTGGCTTGCCTTAGTGCATATGAGGTTCACAAGCCTCCTGGTGATCCTCAAGACAAGCCTGCTCTTCTGAAAATAAATAAAAACACAAAAAGAAAACATCAAAAAACCTTCTGAAATTCACCAGAAAATCTAGACAGCAGGGAAAAATCCCATCTTATGGGAGCTGCTAGATTTTTAGACAAAGAACACAATGCAAAA